GCATATAAATGTCTTATAACTAAAATAGCTAATGAGAGAGATAGATAGAAGGCTAATATGAAGGAACGTCTCTGTGAGTCCTTGTTACGAGATAATTGTAATTTTTATTTTTATTCAATATCTATTAACGAGGTGAAGGCCTAGAAGGTTGGGGTAAGCAGATTTTCAAAGCAGAGTCTCCGGCGTAAGGAATCCGCCTGGAGACGATGTCAGAGTGTGGGATGCCACTGCTGATAAGGATTCTGACTATACCAATACGGCTCTGTGCTTGGCACCGATGCCGTGCGCGCGTAACCCTGTGCTTGGCACCGTTGTCATGCGCCCGCAAGAAGGAATGGAAAGGGAATAATAAGTGTGTGAGCGTAGTTCACTGCGTTGACAGACACTGGGGTTTCGTAATCACGATTTAGAAAAAGAAGAATCTGAAGATTGTCTCTCTCTCTCTCTCTTTATATATATACTAGCTTGTATAGCGTATCCTAAGGAAATCGGAACGAAATTCTAAGAGCGGTTTGACAAACTAAACGTAGATAATACACTATTCGGATTATAATGAATGGTCCTTATGTAAGGCAGTTACGAACCGACATGAACGAAAATTTCAGCGTGACGCTATGGTATCTGTTAAATAATTCGACTTGGCGTATGGTGAAACGTCACTGGTTCACTCGCGTAACAATGTTCCTAAGGCTTAGATCGCGATTGTATTTCACTTGCGCGAAACGCGGTGTATGTGAGTGTTGTGCATTAAAATATTATATACTTACTATTTATTTCAGTAGCTCAGACTTTTGCAGAGAAATCTCAAAGAACAGGCTTTTTTTTATTCCAGAATACTCTCAATACTGTTGGGACCACTCTAGCCACGGCACAACTCGAGCGGGGAGTCGACTTATCCGCACACTTTGAGTATTATAAAACACCGTGGATGTTCTGGCAAGTTTCCTAAGAAATCTTCCAGATTTTGAATAGCACAAGGCAAAGGCTCTGAAGGAGCGTAGGAAGAGGCTCTTATGCGAGACGACCGTTGTCCGTGGTGGCACGGTCGCTCAGAGACACTTTTCCTCTTTGCGTCAAATTAACAAAGATGTCTTGGAGGCTCTCCTAAGAGGCACGTCTGTACTGTATGAACTTCCGATGTCGACTCTGCGGTGGGAGCTGCTCCCGGGGCCTCGTTCGGTCCGGACAATGGAACTCAAGAGTGGGGTAGGCTATATGGTAGGAGTAATGGGATTATACGAGAGGGATCCAGAGTAGGAGCGTTCAAGGTTTTTCAGAGTGGGACTGAGTGGCGTGATGCTGACGGGGCATCGAGACATCTCGGCGCGCCGCCGGATGTGATAAGGAGCGTGGTCAACAGGATGCCCTATGTTACCTGATATGGGCTCGGGTTACTCGGGGATTCCAGAGCACCTTCGGTGGCCCGGCTGCGTGCGTGCCTTATCTTTGAGACTTCCTGTCGCCAGTCTGACTTATTAATTTATATGTGCGCGTAATTATTTATGCCTTATAATATTATAATTTAATAAAAAGGAATGGTTAATATTATATGTGTGGTTCTTAAGGTTATAATATACGCCTAATTTAGTATTATATGAATAGTGTAATAGAAAGTTATAACGTTAATTAGTTATGATTTTTATAAAGACAATATGCATGTGTTATAATAAAAGAGATATTTGTTATCAATGTTTAAATGTGGTTATTAAGAATTATTATAAGAAATGCATATTGTTAACAGTGGGTTTTAGAGTGTAGAGATTTATAATATTGTTAACTGGAAAATTAGGATTTCTTATTACAGGGATCCTTATTATTACTGTTGTTAAATTAATGTTTCTCGGCAAGGCTGAGCTCTACCATAGGGCTCTCTACTTACGTATGTCGGTAAGGTAGATCCCTTGGGTAGGTTTCGTTATTATTGGCGTCGGTAATTAATTAACAATTGTTATAAACAGTTCTTATGTATAAATTACCGAGTTTTTTAGACCTTATAGAAGCTTATGGTAATAGAAGATTCGATGAACAATTAATTTTTATTATTAGTGATGAGTTCAAGCCGTTGTACTGTACGAACGAATTTAAAAGAGTGCAATATTTAAGAAGAGCTTGAACGTGAACAGAAGGCTTAAATTAAATTAAATAAAGTATTTAAACGTGACCAAGGCAAAAATGGTGGATTTCCAAGCTAAATAGAGTATTTAAGTGACTCCTGAACTTAAATAAATGAGGTGTATTAAATTTTAAGTAAGAATTACCAAATTTTGAGAATGTACTGTCAGAAGGATTCTCTGTTTGTGGGCAAGAATTAATTGTTTTCGTTTGGCATTATTTCCTTTTGTAATTAATATTCTGAGGTTTTGGCATTTGCTTATGTTTCACTAAAATGTTCTCTATGTACGTAGGTGTTAAAAATATTTTAAATTGACTTTTCTTAATTTTCACGGAAGGTACGCATTACTGATGTCCCAATAGTCCCTGCGTATGAATTTTAGAATTTTCTGAAGTCTACTGGTAAGTAACATTGTTGGTTTCTTATTAATTGTTAATGTTTTTCAAAATGTTAATATGGTCGTTAAATAGAGGTCTTTTAATGCTATTGTTAGCAATTAAGATTTTTCTTCTAGGCCTTATAGTTACTGAGAAAAACATGCCTTTTCCTGATTGGTCGAGACATTCAAATAGCTATAACTTCTAAACTATCGATTTTACAGAAATTTTATTAGGACATAATTTGTAATACTTTGAAGGAGCCTTAAATCGCACCGCGCGATTTTCTAAAATTATTATTATTTTAAAAGATATCAACTTTTATCGATAAATTTTAATAGTAACAATTACCCTCTATGGTTGAATCTACCTATATGTCTCGCTGGCCTTTTAATGTAGAGGCGAAAAAATGATATGGTGGAGAGAACGTCGCAGGACGTTACACAGTGTTCACGACTTCGATGCTTTTAGGATACACGTTGTACAAGTCGTTGCGCACATCGTCACCGGCGACGAAATCGTGTCGCAGCGTTTTCTTGCGACAATCCATGTGAAAGGTGCCCACACCGATGGATCGATCCATGTGATGCGGCACTTCGGCGTGCAATACGAGATCGGCGGCACGCGCTTTCGTGATTTTCTGCCAGATATTGACGGTGTGCTGTCGATAGTCGCACAACACGTACTCGTCCATCCAAAATCGCCCGTAGACCGGCCCACCGGGCGGACTGTCTTGTGTCGCGTGATCTCCGTAAATCAGGTGCGGACAATTGTAAAAATGACGCAATATGCCAATGTGTCCGTAGGCGAACACAAAGCCCGATCGCAAAACTTGCATATTGCGCCTAGGACCGCACAGAAAAGAGGTGGTGGTGCTGGTGCGCGTCGGAATTCGACACCGAGTCGTTACTTCGGTGCTCTTGGTCGAGTCGGTGTAAAGCTGATGAATGAAACCGACCTCGGGAAACGTGGCGGTGTACGTTTCGCCTTTGAAGAACACGCGTCGACACTGCACCCAGTACTGCGCCATGTTGTCGTTGGTCTTGTCGGATTCGTAATACGCGATCCAGGGTACCTGATCGCGCATCGAGAACGAGTAGTCGGGATCGTACATGCGCATAAACAAGCACGTTGGAATCACTTGGACGCCGTATGTGCTATTGGGCATGGTAAATTGCGTGATGCGCTTGTCGCGTGAATGAAACCCGATTCCGCCGTAACCGATGTTACGATGGCCCATGATCAGTTGATACTTGTGCCAATCGAGCAAGAAATTTCGCACCAGATTGTCCAGACCGACCAACGGCAGAGATGTTCGCGTCATTTCGGACAAATAACCGTACGCCAGCACATTGGTGTGCGTGATGTACGTCGAATCGACGTACAGTCCCTCGTCTTTGCGTTTCTCGACAACCGGAAATTTGATGTACTGAACCGCGTAATGGTAACCCTCGTTTAATGCAGCTTGCAATGAATCGCCGCGAATATAATGCGCGGCCATCCACGGTAACGCCATGTAGACCGAATTGGCGTTATCGCGTTTCATGCCCAACGAGTGCTGTGGATCGGTAATGATCTTGAGCGTGAGATCGCACGCAAACTCGCGATCCTTGACGTTTTGCGTGATCAGTATAAAGTAGAACAACATGAGCGTGGACGAGATCGAAAACTCGTACCAATTCTTGCCCCACGGAAACACCCGATCGAATTTCCTGTCCATTGCAGAGGCGTAACGATACATGAAATCGCGCATAACTTCCACGATTCGCGGTCGGCGCGCTTTCGAATTTACACTCAGATAATGATCAGCGAGCTTCACGAGCCAGTTGCACATGTCACCGAGCGCAACATGATCCACGTTCCAATCTGGGTGCACGGTGGTACTGGCCGCAGGTAACACCGTGTAACGATCAATGTCACCGGGCTCAACGCTCACCACGGTTACCATTTCGAGCGCTCGATCCATGTCGAAACGTTTATCTTGCAATCTGACGGGCGGCTCGACGATGCCGTAACGCTCGTTGAATCTGTAATAATAATAGCACATGTCGTAAAACAGCACATTGACTCGTGCACTCCGATGCCGCGGTCGAGCACTAGACCGCGACAATACAAACCGAACAACGCCACTGATGACGCTAGCACCATCAGCGCCAAGGAGATCATTATGAAGCACTTGTTATTTTCTCAGGTTGTACGAATCGACTCAATGGTAAAAAAGGCAACACCTTTCACGAAGAAGCAGATATTGCCAAACGAAAGTAATATCCCTTATCTGTTACAAATTGAACAATTTATCGTACCGAATCGAACAATACCGAAGCAAGGTGATCAAATCTCGATCGACCGAATCGGATCTAGGCATCGCAACGAGCATATGGAGCTCTGTTCGATCGAGTTGTACATCTAATTTTGCAATAGTACATTTGTACAGTGCGTAAAAATTGTAATAGGTTCAATAAATAAAGTTTGCAATATAACGGTTCATCGTATTTTATTTGAACAGTAGATTATTCATACAATTGTAATTTTGGCCGCTTGTAATTTCGCATGTTATTTTCTATATTTTTGTTTGCGTCTATAGTACTGTGATTACGTTTATATACATTTTTCTTATCAATGTTATCATCGCTTAAAGTCACCTCAGACTCCTCATCTGGCTCAGACTCCTCATCTGGCTCAGACTCTTCGTCTGGCTCAGACTCCTCGTCTGGCGCAAACTCTTCATCTGGCTCAGACTCCTCGTCTGGCTCAGACTCCTCATCTGGCTCAGACTCCTCGTCTGGCTCAGACTCCTCGTCCGGCTCAGACTCCTCGTCTGGCTCAGACTCCTCGTCTGGCTCAGACTCCTCGTCTGGTTCAGACTCCTCGTCTAGCTCAGATTCTTCGTTCACCTCAGACTCCTGGTCTGGCTCAGTTTCCTCGTTCATCTCAGACTTCTCGTACGACTCAGACTTCTCGTTCGATTCAGTTGCATCGAAGTAACAGTTTAAATAACCGACGGTTTAAATAACTCGATTAAATAACCGATTGATTCTTGGGATCCAATCGTTCAAATGTTGCACGTTTATGGTCTTCAGTGGTAATGAAACTTTCATAGTAGTAGACGTTATTTTACGATTCGAGATTTGCATTTGAAAAAATATACAAATAGTTATTTTGGTAAAATATTGAACTATCGTATAAAATGTTATATGTATTACCTTGCAAACAAATTGCGCCGTTTTTTTCAATGAGTACGTAGATGCTAGAGTGAATGATGCTTTCGCTCGCCATCGCGATATATATACCATTCCATTATCATGAGTATCCAGGTACCGATAAACATTTTGGCCACTTCCAACTCATTATCGTAAAAAATACTCTACTTGCGCAAAGATAAATCTAGATAATACGAGAAAAACAATTCTGTGATCATTAGATAATTTTTTCGATTGACCAAACGCAATAAGCTCGAGTAGTACGATCGTTCTTTCATTGTTCAAAAAAATTCTTTTATTCTTTTTTTTGTAACGATATAATTGCTCAATTGTACATTCACATTTTTTCGAATCGAACATGCAATATTTATTTCTTTTTGCAACAAGAGACATTTTCTACTCCTCGCAAATTAACGGTACGGAGTGCATCCTGACACACAGCCGTTTCGAGCGAATCGAATGAAAGATTCGCCAGAGAGACGTTTCAATACGGTCGCAGATGATCCCACCATGGGAGCGTGCTAAACGTTATTTATTGGTCAATTAATGTTCCCACTATTGTACAAAATGTGCAATAGTGGAAGGGGTAAAATGTATATAACGAGGAGTTCCGTCGCGCGGCCGATACTATTGTACAGTACGTAGTACGGAGCAGTCAGAGGTACAATAGGACCAGGAACGCTACTGCTCCGTACTACGTACGGGGGACGTTACTATTGTACAATTGCTCGAATCGCGCGATTGTCGCGCGCTCACGGCTCGCTGCTCATTGCTCGCTACTCGCTCGTCGAGCGTCGAATCGCTAGCGCTCGACAAAATTACATAATCGGAACACATACTCAAACATCGAGCATTGAGCGTACGTTTGCGCGACTCGCGGCTCGCGGCTCGCTCGTTGAGCCTCGAACATCGAGTCGCTAGCACTCGACAAATTACATAATCGCAATACTAAGAGACGAGTGAAGTTATATAATCGTACCACACCACTCGAAAATCGAGCATCGAATCGCGAGTTGTACAAATGTACGTTCTTTTGACATTAGCTCAACGCTCGATATTCGACGCTCCTCTCGATGAGCGAGCCGCGAGTCGCGAGTCCATGGCGCGACCGCACAGTTGAGTCGCTAGCGTTCGACAAATTACATAAGTTGATTGTTGAGCTAATGTCAAGAGAGCGTACGTTCGTGCGGCTCGTACGATGCTCGCACGATGTTCGTACGTTCGCATGATGCTTGCACGATGCTCGCACGTTCGCATGATGCTCGCACGATGCTCGCACGTTCGCATAATGCTCGCACGATGCTCGCACGATGTTCGCACGTTCGCACGATGCTCGCACGATGTTCGTACGTTCGCACGATGTTCGCACGATGCTCGCACGATGTTCGCACGATGTTCGCACGATGTTCGCACGATGTTCGCACGATGCACCGCACGTTCGCACGATGCTCGCACGTTCACAAAAATGTACCCTCGTACGATTGTACGTGAGAGGAGACTGGTGTCCAAACAAAAAAAACTTTGCTCATATACAAGCGGTTATTTATTGGTCGATCAAAAGCACAAGTATCGCAGATTTCTTTTGATGTTGACAATTTTAGCGTGCTCGAATTTGAAACGTGAATGCGCGGTTGAACATTTGTACAATTGCTTGCACAAACACACACACACACACACACATATACACACACAACTCACGAATAGTGATTCGGCACCGCCGAATTTATGCCGCCAATGTACCGCCGTCGTCTATGCGCATCAGGTTCAGTTGATCGTATATCGACGGTAACCGATTTGCGACAGCAGCTCCGTGCGACGACGGCGACGAGTCGATAACCGTGGGCACTGCGACAGTGGTTTCACCGTGCAGCCATTAACCGACCGTGTGCGGAGACATTGGTATCACCAGTGTCCGTGGTTATCCGTGAGAGTCGCGCTTTTTCGCATCGCTCAGTGCCGGGACTCGCGATTGCATCGAGAACATTGCGTGATCGTTGCATCTGAACGGTAACAGCACAACGTGCTGGAGCGCACGTACGGCGAATGCGTTCGGTAAGAGTGCGACGAATCGAGCAAAATGGCGTAAAAATGACGCGCGTACAACGCGATCGTCGACAGGAGCGATAGATTTTGCGCCAGGTGGAACATGGTCGTGCAATCCTGAAGATTGTACAATGACACACGCAACATATTGACACCGCGATCAATGTCGGGCGAATCGAACGCCGCTCTCGCATCAAAGTACAGTCGACGAATCGTCACCGTGTCAAAGTTCATCTTTTCCCGACGCGAGCGCTCGGTCAATGAGCTCTCGCTCGCGTCGTTCGCGCCAAAGTAGCGCGATACGTGTTTCAGCGCGATCGAACCTACCTGCGCGAGATAGCGCGCCTTCACGTGCGACATAACATCCAGACTCAATTGCGCCGATGCGAATCGCGGTTCTCGGTGCATAGAAAGCGTGCGAGACGCGCAATCGTACATACCGTAATACAACGCGCGATTAACCATAAACGAGTAATCATAGTCCCAGTTGTTGTGGCCGAGCAGCACGCAAGCGATTCGCTCAGCATCCGCGGGATCATCCAATTTGTAAAGATTCGCGAAGAACTCGTTGCTGGACAGTATCTCGAAAGCCGTGAAAGCTTTCTGCGTTGGTGAACAGCAACGCTCGTTCGTCGCGGTAAAATTGAACCGTGGCTCGCTTCATGCTGGGCTGAGCGCGCAGTAACGATTGGATCTGTCGCTCCCGAGTAACGATTGCCGTTTGATCGTTATCGTTGGGCAACGGCACGTACGCCAAGAGTATCGGCGTCGTGACGATATCGTCATCTTTGTTCTCGACGGTATTTGTCGCGGCGTTGTCTCTCGGATTTCGCCGTCGCTGACGAACAGTCAGCGCGATACACGATATTCGCTGGTCCTCTTCTACGCCTCTCGGTAATGTACTGTCCATTCGCGCGATTGTCTCTATATCATAGCTCATCACCGGCAGCCAGGTCAACGGATCGCTCGGCAATTGACTCTGACGTCGCTCTCTGACGCTCAGCTTCACGAGGTACTGTTGCGCGTCGGAACTGGCGGTGTCGTTTACGCGACACCACGCGTTCATCTCAAACACTCGATGTAGATCAATGCGCATGACAGCAGTAGCATCAGCAGTATCGTCGTGCTCGTCGGGGCTACTTGCCGCATTGTCGTCATCTTTGGTGTCCAGTTGTTGCAGCGTTGTGTTTTCAAAGGTCGAGTGTGCGCGAGTAACGCGCGCACGGTGATGCTGCTACGCTTGATCTCGCTGAAGGCGAAAATACGACGTCAATGCCACCTCGAAGCACGTCGAGTCTGTGGCGAACATGGAATAGGCGTTGCTCCGAGAGTGCTCGTTTTCTCTCAGATAACGCATCGCGATCGCTCGTGCTCGATACGAATCGAATCGAATCTCGCACAAGTCGGCATCAGCCACGGTCCACAATACGCACAGCGACCGCTGTGCCGCACGAGTGCGCGTATACTCGAACATATCACCGTGGACACCGGATCGCAACCATGCACAGTCAAACGATAGTTTAGTCGTTGTCGCAATTCGGACAGCTTGTCATGTGGCACGGCTGCGTACAGCACCCGAGCCCAAGGCGCGAACAGAGTGGAACGAATGCACACTCGTCTCGTTATACCGCCGTTGCAGAATGCGGTCGTGTATTCGAGCGCGTCTATCGCCAAAACATTGCGGTATTGTCCGTTCTAGGCTTCGTACGCTGTAGCACCGGTGGTTGACGAACAATCAGGCCCCCGTGTCGTATTCGCGCGTCGTTCACTGACAGTCTCGTCAGATCGACAAAACCCGGCGTGCCGGGATAGTGAATAGCCAAAGAATACACAACATGCGCGGCCATTTTCGCTGAGCTCGATTCGGGGGAGGGGGGCCACGATGAAACATTACCTTGCCGTGATATCGTCCGCTCTGTTGCTCTGGTTTATCGTACCGCGTCGACACTCTGTGACTGCCGCGTCTTCGTCATCAGCGACGAGCCATCGCATTATATACCAATCGTTTCCGGATATCGGGGCGCACGGTCGTTCGCCGTTTTCGAAGGAAGATACCGATCGATCCGACGATTACTGTCCGCACCGTCAATGCGTGATCGATTACGTGCTATCGCAAGGATTGCCCGACCGCAAGTGGTCGCGTCTCGAGTAATACGGTCTGACGGATTGCGCCGCCGTGAGAAGACTCTTGCTCGGCCGACATCGTTTTGAGCGATCTTGATCTGCACGAGCTATTGAACGTCAGCGGAGCGGCGACGCAACGCTTATCCGCACTGGATGAGATCGATCGGGGTGCTTACGGCGAATGGAATTTGGCCAACGAATGGAACTTGTATGTGGTGAACGATCGTGGCGAGGTGTACAGAGTGTCTAGTGAACGGATGCGCGCTCGTTTGTTGCTCGATGCCTTTCGAGCGGCTCTCGTCACTTGGCTCTCGCTGTATCACGCGCCTGCTCGGACCGTCGAAACTCGCGGCTACAACGAACAACAGCGACTACCACTATACGACCAGGATTCGGTATTGAATTCTCACGATCGATCACCGTTGTTGCTGCAGGAGTGGACTTCCGCGATGATGTCATCGTCGATCGACAATCGCATCGAAACCGAAGAGTATTATGCGCCGTGGTGTCGACGAAGCGGCAGCGGCGAGGAACGACGCGACTTTGCGCTCGATCTGGACATT